GATAATGAGTCATCTCTTGAAATCCTTGGAACATTCCCTACCTGAATCACAGCCCAAATGGAACAGTTTGGATCCAATTCCCAAATAGTTTGGAAACTCCAGTCATTCCTGACACCAGGATGGAAATTCAGCAGATAACTAAAGCCAGTCCCCTTGGGAGCCCACAACCAGTGGGGCTGAGGGAGGCCCTGGCAGCTCCCCAGCACCTCCCTCTCAGTGGGACACCTCTGGCAGCCTCTCCCAGCTTGGGAACCCTCCAGTTTCCAACACTCCAAAGAGCGGCGCTGATGCCCAGGACAATTCTGATCCCCCTCCACAAACACTCCTCCAGCTGTGACCCTGGTCTGTTGGGAAACACAAAGGGATTTGTGGCAGTTTTTCCCTGACAACAAGGAGAATTTTGGAGAGGGACCTTTCCACAGCCAGCTATTGATGTGTCCACACATCTCTGCCTGGGTGTGGGTGTGAATTGACTGTGGTGGGAATGTTGTTATTGGGAATCTATAATTCAATCACTGTTAAAATTGTGGCAAATGCTATTGAATCACTTGATAACTGTCAAACTGGTCAATAATTAAATGCTAGTAATCTCTTTTGCCCCCTTATATTTGTGTCCAAATCCTTGGTGCCCTGACCCTCTTGCATTCCAAGGATCTGTATAAATCATTCTCTTTCATCAAAAAATATATTTTTCATGACTTCCACTTTAAAATCTTCCTCCTTAGCTAAACTACAAAACAACTCCAATTAGTTGTTGATGTCTTGAAGACAATTAAAGAAAGAAAAATAATTAGTTTTTCAGTGTTTTAATGGTCCCAAAGTGTGTTTGGAGCTGCATCAGCTGTCAGTCCAAGATGGGCCATGTCAGAACTGGTGAGGTTGGGGGGTGAGGAGCAAGGCTGATCATCCAGGGTCAGTGTGGATCTCCTGAGGAGACACTCAGCATCAAGATCACTTGGAGAACACCTCTATCACCTCTCCTCTGAACAGAAAAGTATCCATAATTGAATTAAAAAAAAAAAGTACAAATTTTGAAGACTTGTTTTGAAATTGCCTTGAAGACAATTAAAGGAAGACAAAGAGATCCTGAGGGATTTCTGGAATTTAATGAGCCCCACGGTGTGTTTGCAGCCCAGCCCATGGTCCTGAGGTGCTGAGAGAAGATTGAAGCAGCTGCTGAAGAAGTCAGAAGCCAAAGTCCAAGTGCCTTGAAGCATTGCTGGGCCCCACTGAGGGCAGGCACTGCCAAAGCCTCCCCAGCGACTCCTTGGAGCAGCTCCTTGGAGGCCAGGAGTGCAGGCAGACAAAGGCTCTGGGCAGGCCCCTGCAATGCTGAGCAAAGCCTGCCTTGGTTTTGTGGCGCACAAAGGCCAAGGGCTGAGCCCCAGGCCCTGGCCCAGCAGATCCTGTCCCTCCCGGCTGGCTCAGGGCTGTTTGGGGGGCACTGGGATGGGAGGGGGGGGAACAACAAAGGCCAAAACTGGGCAACCCCAGCCAGGCTGCTGAGGGAGGGGCGAGGCAGAACCCAAGGGCAGAACCTGCCAGGAAAGTGGCTTGTGGTGGCCTGAGTGGCAGAGGCAGCTGCCAGAGGCAAGGGGACAAAGGCCTGGGTGCCTTTGGGCCTTGCAGCCCTGCCAGAGCCCTTGGCCATCTCTCCTGCAGGCTGTCCTGCCCTGGCCCTGCTGCTGCTCTGGCCTTGCAGGCTGCACACACCCCTCCTGCTTTCCCACCCCCTCCCAGCAGCATTTCTAGACCCTCCCTGATGGCTCTGCACCAGCTCTGGCTGTTCCCTGGAACACAAAGCCATGCCATCACCCTTTTAGTGACCTCTGGCACCATAAGGTTCCCCTTTGAGTAACATTCCTTTTTCCCCACCTTCAATCTGCACCTTCCAAGCTGCACTTTACGGGTTTCTTTTTCTTTCCATCACCAAGAAAAGCTCCATCCTGTCAGATCTGCTCTAGACCCTCTCCAGTTCTTCCTCATTCCTCCAGAATGGGGAACCTCACAGACAGACAGACCAGTCCAGATGTGGTGACCCCAGGGCTGAGTCCAGGGGGGTGACAACTCCTTCTCTGGGTGCCCACACTCCCCCCCAGGCAGCCCCACGTGCACTTGGCCTTATTAACTTGGATCCTGAGCCCCTGTGCCACAGGACATCCCTGCCAGAGCCCAGGCCCTTCTCCTGGGGGTCACTGCAGAGCTGAGCAGATCCAGGTCACCTCCCATTCCTCTGCCAACCCCCTGGGCCTGCTCTGGGCCCTCCAGGTCCTTGCCCTGCTCCCAAGGGCTGTGGGGGTGCTTAATGGTCAGGGCTTGGGGTTTAGAGCTCAGGATTGGGATTAGGCAGAACTTTGGGAGGTTTGTTGTTCTGCTGGCAGTGTCTGGTTCATGATTAGGGGAAGATTTTTTTGGGTTGGGTTAGGATTAAAGCTTGGCTTTTCATACTGGTAATACAGATTTGGGATTGGGGTGGGCATTAGAGGATGAATAAGAGTCTGGAGTTCTGGGATTGGGCTTTTTCTGCCTTGGAATTAGAGCAGTGGATTTCTTTTCAGTGGGAGGGACAGCATTTTTGGCTAGTGTTGGGGCTTGAGGTTACAAAGTGCATAAAGCAATGTTTGCACAGTCAGTATTTCAGCATCCTCAGCATTCCCTGAATCTGGTTTTACCTCATCAAAATCTTTCCTCTCTCTTGGCCATTCCCCTCTTTCCTTCCCCAATTATCTTATCCCTTTTGTCCCAGTTCCTCCCAACCTCCTCAGAACTTTCATCAGGATGGGCTCAGCTGTGTGATGATGCTGTGCAACCTCATGGAATCAAGGAGCCACTGTGGAACTGCAGAACCTCATGGAATTATGGGGCCATTGTGACACTGGGGAAAGCCATGGAATCAAGAGGCTGGGATGCTCCAGGGCCCCATGGAGCCAAAGGAACCCAGGGACAGTGGGCAACCTCCTGAATAAAGGGGCCATTGTGACACTGCAGAAACCCATGGAATCAGGGGGCCATTGTGGCACTTCAGGGCCTCTTGGAAACAAAGAAACCCTGGGCCAGAGTGGAATTTCATGGAATCAAGAGGCCGTTGGGACACTGGGGAACCTCATGGAACAAAAGGAATCCAGGGACACTGTGGGACTTCATGGAATCAAGGAGCACTTGTGACACTACAGGGCCTTATGGATCCAAAAGAACAGAGGGAAACTGTGGAATCTCGTGGAACCAAGGGACTGGTGGGGCCTCATGGAACAAAAGGAACCCTGAGACATTTTGGAAGCTCATGGGACAAAACGTTCATTGTGGCACTGCAGGGCCCCATGGAAACAAAGGAACACAGGGACACTGAAATCTGGGGGAACCAAGGGGCCATTTTGACATGTGGGGCCTCATGGAAACAAAGGAACCTGAGACATTTTGGAACCTCATGGAACCAAGGGGCCATTCTGACCCTGAGGAACCTCATGGACTCAAGGGGCCACTGTAACACTGCATGGCCTCATGGAGCCAAAGGAACCCTGAGACATCTCAGAACCTCATGGAACCAAGGGGCCACTGTGCCTGCCCAGAACTCCATGGAATCAAGCAGAGCCGCTGCCTCCCCCCCGCCGCCGCACGGACCGGAGTCGCCGGCTCTGCCCCGCTTGGACACCTCTGCAGTCAGCGTGTTCTTGGGCAGCACAGCTGATCTCAGACCAGAGAGTTTCCCACATTTTGCTTTGCCCCCTCTTTTCCCCAGGGCCAGGGCAGCCTCTTCCCATGGCCCCTCTGCTCACACAGGGTGTCCTGCTCTTCTCCTGGCACATCCCATCTCCCCACAGAGCCTTTCCCCAGGGGAACACGTCTGTGCTGGCCTGAGCAGCCCTTCCTGCACCCCCTGCCCGTGCTCCCCACAGCCCCTGAGCTGGGAGAGGCTGCTCTGCAGAGCACGGGGGCTGTGGGGCCCGGGGCCATGGGGGACTCTGTTGGGCTGTGCTGCTCAAACTGGGAGGTAGAGCCAGCTGATGGTGCTCCCTGCACTGACCACCTCCCACAGACGCTCCTGTGTGGCCATGGAGGGGGCTCAGAGGGGCCCTGCCTTCTTCCAGAGCTGGGACATGGCTTTGGGGGCTGCTCTTGATTGACCTGTGGAAGTTCACTGAGGGAAAGAGAAGTCACTTGCTAGAGTTTTCCCTCTACCTGTTTCATCCCCTGGAGTTGCAAAGCTCTGTTTGCCACTTCACAGCAAGATTTAGTACTTGATCTCTGGTAACTCCACCCTGGGCAGGATTCTGCTCCAGGGCTCCATTCCCTGCTGACTGGATGGGACGGGCTGTCCCTGCAGATCCTCTGTGCTCTCCTGCACTTCCTGAGTTCCTACAGACAAGTCCTCACCTGCCATCAGAGCCCTCACAAGCTGCAGAGCCCCAGGCAGGGGACTTGGAGATCATTTGTCACCTCCATTGGCCATCGGCCACCAACACACAACATGTGAACCAGCCCTCAGTCCCTGCAGTCCCAGTGGGTCCCTGACCTCACTGCACTGTCTCCATGAGAAACAAGCAAAGCAACAAGACTTTGGAGAGTCTGTTCCTTGGACTTCTTCTCGATACCAGTGTTGGGAAAAGACCTCAGCCTTCAGGAAGTGCCTGGAGGGGAACCCCTTTGCTGCTGGAACTGCTGTTGTGGAGCCCAGCCCTGTCCCAGCAGTGCCCAGGGCCTGTCCCTGCCTGTGCTCACAGGCCTGACCCACAGCAGGACAGTGACTGAGCTGCCAGAGCACTCAGGCCTTGGGCACGGACAGGAAAGGAGAGGGTGGGAGTGCAAAGAGAGCAGCTCTGAACAGACCCAGTGCTGGTGCTCCCTGGCAGTGCTGGGACTCTTTTCCCCTCCAGATCTGCAAACATGGAAATGTCCTCCAGCTTCAGGGGAGGTCTTGGAGGAAGAATCTGGAGAAAAGAATTTGTGTCCTTTCTTACACTTAGAGATTGTGATTCCTCATGTACAAACTATCACAGGGAGGATGTTTGACAAATATCTTTCTGCACGAACTTTTATTTTGTTTAAATGCACACAAAGCATGATTCCTGATTTGTATATTTTGTGGGTCAAAAAGAAAAAAAGAGATAGACAGTGAATTCTATATGGGATGATGAATAAAATTTCAGTCTTAATGACATCAAGAGAAGTAAAAAAACAGGAAAATCCCCCCCACCACAACTATTAAAAGCTTTAGAAGGCAGGCTGGGCCCAAAATTAGTTATACAATGAGTGTTCTGCAGAAGAAAAGATGGAGTTTATTGCTTCTCAAAAAACATGTAGTCATCATTTTCCTTATGGCAACCCTGAGCTCCTGGTTCCTCAGGCTGTAGATGAGGGGGTTCAGTGCTGGAGGCACCACCGAGTACAGAACTGAAACCACCAGATCCAGGGATGGGGAGGAGATGGAGGGGGGCTTCAGGTAGGCAAATGTGGCAGTGCTGAGGAACAGGGAGACCACGGCCAGGTGAGGGAGGCACGTGGAAAAGGCTTTGTGCCGTCCCTGCTGAGAGGGGATCCTCAGCACAGCCCTGAAGATCTGCACATAGGAGAAAACAATGAAAATGAAACAACTAAATGATAAACTGGCAGTAACCCCAATGAGCCCAATTTCCCTGAGGTAGCCTGAGTGTGAGCAGGAGAGCTTGAGGACGTGTGGGATTTCACAGAAGAACTGGCCCAGGGCATTGCCCTGGCACAGGGGCAGGGAAAATGTATTGGCTGTGTGCAGCAGAGCAATGAGAAACCCAGTGGCCCAGGCAGCTGCTGCCATGTGGGCACAAGTTCTGCTGCCCAGGAGGGTCCCGTAGTGCAGGGGTTTGCAGATGGCAACGTAGCGGTCGTAGCACATGGTGGTGAGGAGATAATACTCAGCTAAGATGAAGAGGAAAAAGAAAAAGAGCTGTGCAGCACAACCCTTGTAGGAGATGGTTGTGGTGTCCCAGAAGGAATTGTGCATGGCTTTGGGGACAGTGGTGCAGATGCAGCCCAGGTCTGTGAGGGAGAGGTTGAGCAGGAAGAAGCCCATGGGGGTGTGCAGGTGGTGGTCCCAGGCTACGGCGCTGAGGATGAGGCCGTTGGCCAGGAGGGCAGCCAGGGAGATGGCCAGGAAGAGCCAGAAGTGCAGGAGCTGCAGCTCCCGCCTGTCTGCCAATGCCAGGAGGAGGAACTGGGGCATGGAGCTGCTGTTGGACATTTGCTGCTTCTTAGCATAGTGTCTGTTCAAAAAAGGAAAGGACAGGGAAGAGTTAAGACACACCTCTGTGAAAAAACCACTCCATTGCTACAAGAAATCAATGTGTCAAATGTCACCAAATGCACTGCCAAGGAGTCAGTTTTGCTCTGCTCCAGGGGGAAATGGAATTTTTTGGTAGAGCTCTCACACACACAAGGAATGTCAGATGTAACCCACCTTGAATACAAAAGTTCCACCTCTACACTCATAACTCAGAAGAGCTGGGGCTGTAGAGCAGAAGCTTAGTCTGAACTTAGAATAATTGTACCTGTGTTTTCTATTTTTACCATCATACCTGGGGAAGGTTCTTTTCCACTGCAGAAATCCTCATTTCTATGGCCCAGCACACAGTGCCCAGCAGAGCTGCAGGGAAGGGCCCCCAGTTCTGCCTGAACACCCCCTCCCCCAGGCCTTGGGGACACTTCCCCCCCACTCCCTGCCCAGGGCTCTGCTGCCTGGAGCTGTCCCTGCCAGCAGCTGCGTCCCTGGGCACAGGGCTGGGCCCTGGCAGTGCTGTCAGAGCCCACACCTGGGGGCTCAGCTCTGCCCTGCAAAGCCCTCCCAGCAGCACAGGGCACTGCCCAGGGGCATCTCTGGCTGGGCAGGCTCTGATGGCAATGTAAGAGCAACCCTGAGGAGGCTGGAAAAGTGACACTGATGCTGTCTGTAAGAGAGTTTTGATGTCTGATACTCTCAGGTTCAATCCCCTCTAATCTAACAGAGTTCAAGTTGCAGTATCCTGTGCTCTGAGACTGATTTCTCTATCGCAGTCAGCACCCAGACAACCCAGAGTATAACACTGAGAGAACTGGTTCTTTCTCTTTAAAGTACTCCCTGTCTGTCTGTGCTTCTTGCAAATACCTTCTGGGAAATTTCCTGCTTAGATCTGGAGCTGTGACCAGCCCTCATCCCTGCAGCCCACTTTGGAGATCAGAAGGACTCTGCCCTGCTCTGCCCTCCCAGGAGTTGTTCCTTCCCCACAGCCCTTCTCCCCCAGCCCCGTGGCAGCTCCTTGGCCGGGCTGAGAGCTGACCCTGGCAGGCAGCAGAGTCCCTGCCCCAGCACACAGAGCCCTGGGGGCAGGACCCTGCTCTGCCCCACAGCCCTGGGCACCCCTGGCTGCACCCCCACCTTCCCACCCCACAGCCAGCCCTGGCACAGGGAACCTTCTTGCCCTGGGCCTCTGAGGGGGCAGCAGCAAGTCCTGCTCTGCAGCAGCTTCTCCTGCTGCACCCCAGCAAATCCAGCAGAGCCATCCTGACAGCTCCTGCCACTGCTGCCATTTGGCAGCTGGGAGAGGCACTTGCAGGAACTCACCTGCACTGCTCTGCAGCCACAGCCTGACCCGTGGCAAAGGGCTGGCAAGGTTCCTGCCCTGAGCAGCTCTGCCCTGTCCTCCCAGCCCAGGATCCCTTGAACCTCCTGCTCCCTTCTCCTCTCTGCCCTTGCTGCCTGCAGCTCCTGCCCTGCTCTGCCATATGGCCACTTCCCCTGCACTGCAGCAACTGGGAGAGTCCTGCTGAAAGATCCTGGAAGCTGTGGGATGTGCCAGCTTTAGGAGATGCCTCCAGGAAGGCAAGTTGAACTTTCCTACAGCCAGAGAATTCTTCGTTGAAATCCTGGGAATGTTTCTCCCGTAGTAAGAGCTCAGTCACCTCCCAGCCCAGGCTGCCTCTCATCTCTCTGCCTTCTCTCCTGTGCCCTGGGTGCTGCAGGCAGTGCCCTCAGCCCTGCTGGGCTGTGCAGAGGAGCTGCTCACCAGCAGAGCTGTCTCTTTGAAGCTCTTCTTGCTTGCCAGGAGCTCCCTGTGTGCCAGGAGCCCTGCCCAGCTCAGCAGCACAGCAACAGCCCCAGGCAGCCCTTTCTCTGCCCCTCTGGGCTCCCTCCAGCTGTCCCTGGGGCTCCAGGGGAACCTGCTGGCACACAGCTGAAGGAAATAATGATGTTCCTTCTCTCAGCTGGGCACAGACACTTCTTTCAGCACTGTCATTTCTCCAAACAGACACAGAGTTAAGTTCAAGAGCCCCTTTTCATGTCCCATCCTTGGACAGGAAACCCAGACAGTGCCCAGGAGGGATCTCCTTCACCCCCACTGAGGGAAGGGACTCAGCTGAGTCAACAGAGGTGTCTCCTTGTGGCTCTGCAGACCTGGGGCCAGAAAGACACTCAGCGGTAACAATGGAAATGTATGCTGGTTGCCATGGTAACCGACCATAGCAATGGGAATGTCTGATGGTTGCCATGGTAACTGACTATGGGAACAGCAATATATGATGGTTGCCATGGTATTTGACTGTACCAGTGAGAGGTATGATGGTTCCCATGGTAACTGATAGTAGCAATGGGAATGTGTGATGGTTACCATGGTAACCGAGCCTAGCAATGGGACTGTATGATGGTTGCCATGGTAACCAACCGTAACAGTGGGAATGTATGGTGGTTGCCATGGTTACTGACCACAGCAATGTGAATGTATGATGGTTGCCATGGTAACTGACCATAGCGATGAGAAGGTATGAAGGTTGCCCTGGTAACTGACTGTAGAAATGGGAATGTATGATTGTTGCCATGGTAACTGAACGTAGCAATGGGAATGTATGATGGTTGCCATGGTAACTGAACATAGCAATGGGACTGTATGACGGTTGTCATGGTAACTGAACATAGCAATGGGAATGTATGATGGTTGCCATGGTAACTGATTATAGCAGTGGGAAGTATGAAGGTTGCCATGGTTACTGACTGTAGAAATCAGAATGTATGCTGGTTGCCATGGTAACTGACTGTAGCAACGCAACTGTATGATGGTTGCCATGGTAACTGACCATAGGAATGGGAATGTGTGATGGTTGCCATGGTAACTGACCATAGCAGTGGGATGTAGAATGGTTGCCATGGTAACTGACCATTGCAATGGGAATGTATGATGGTTGCCACGGTAACTGAACATAGCAATGGGAATGTATGATGGTTGCCATGGTAACTGACCGTAGCAACATGACTGTATGATGGTTTCCATGGTAACTGACCATTGCAATGGGAATGTATGATGGTTTTTAAGGAGCACTAGGCCCTGCTTGACACGACTTTGGAGGTTGCAAACTGTGTGAAAGCTCTGTGTTGATACTTACAAACTCTGTGAAACTATGCAATGTTTATACTTGTTAGCTATACGTTTATAGTCCTAGGTATGAGAAAATCCTGTGTTTATAGTTGAAAGTTTTGGGAAAACTGGAGATAAAGGAACATCTGCAAGATCTTGGAAGGTCCCTAAGGGCGGATCAACAGGAGGGACTTTGGGTGGCCCTGTGATGTCAGGCCGCGTGGACAGAGCACCAGAATCAAGGAACCGACGGCGTGGTCCGCGTGCACAGACTGAGCTATCCAACCACCTTGTTGTAAGCACGTACCCGGGAAAAACTAAACTGTATAAAAGTTAACTCATTTAAATAATAAATTGAACATCGCCTGATCATATTGATTGTCTGCGTGTGCTCCGGAACTCCTGCCGGCCATAACCCCAGGCACTGTTTCCAAAGGAACCCCAATGAAAGGGGGACGCCGGAAAGATGGGCGGACAAGGCCCGCAATGGAACTCTGTGTGTGCAGCCTCATTTTCTCCTTCAGCACCCACAGGAGGGGGGCAAAAAGTGGGGGTTGGGACCCGAAAACTGTTCACGGCAGAAACTGGGGATTGAGGGGACAGTCCTAAAGTGGGAGGAACAGGGAGAAGGGTGGAAAAGGGAGGGTGGTCTGGCAAGTCTGATGGTCCCATGGGAGTCTTTGAGCACCAGGGGGTTGGTCCCATGAGCTCCCAACTTACTGTGGGATACTGGGGGCTGCTGGATCGAATCTCAGCCTTGGATTATGCCACCACTTTAGAGGAATTACAGAAGTGTGACTGAATCACTTTGGTCCTCTGTGATTTTAATGATGGCAAAACAGATCTATTGATAAAAATGAATTATTAAGAGATACAAATGATCAGACAGAAGATCTTCAGCAGAATTATTTACTGCACAATAGAGACACTAAAACTACCAGGAGTACAGGATAAGATAGGACAGGGCTCTACACTAAAGCAATTGTTGAAGCAATTCTACTCAAGCTGGCACAAAAGCAAGAATTCTTAATTAGAGTTGTATGGAACTCCCCCAGACCAACGCTCAGGGGGGAGATCTCTGCTCTCAACCTCCAGCAGTGACCTTGGGGGCGTCCCCACCCAAGGCAGAAACCTGAACACACCCCACCAGGAAGGGTTCTGTTGGAAGAAGCTGCCCCTGGGAAAGGGGACTGGTCCTTTGTGGTTGAAAGGGATGGAGTGACAGTCACTGGACTCCAGGGGTTGCCTCAACATCAGGGGGTTCATTTGAGGTGGAAGGAGCAGCCAAAGCTCTTCCTGCAGTCGGGGCACTGGCAGGGCTTCCCTTACTGGTGGGTCCGTTGGTGTCTGGTCAAGCCAGAGCTCTTGTTGAAACTCTTCCCACACTCCCCACACTTGTAGGGTCTCTCTCCGGTGTGGATGCGCTGGTGGGTGATGAGGTTGGAGTTCCGGTTGAAGCCCTTCCCACAGTCGGTGCAGCGGAAGGGCCTCTCATCCGTGTGTGTCCGCTGGTGCTGGAAGAGATTGGAGCTGGTCTGAAACCTCTTCCCACATTCCCCACACGTGTAGGGCCGATCCCTGGTGTAGGGACATTCCCCAGTGTGGATGAGCTGGTGTCGGATCAGGTGGGAGCTGTACCTGAAGCTCTTCCCACATTCCCTACACTTGTAGGGCCGTTCCCCAGTGTGGATGCGCTGATGTCGGATCAGGTTGGAGCTGTCCCTGAAGCTCTTCCCACATTTGCCACATGTGTAGGGCCGTTCTCCAGTGTGGATCATTTGGTGTCGGATCAAGCTGGAGCTGTCCCTGAAGCTCTTCTCACATTCCCCACATGAGTAGGACCGTGCCCCAGTGTGGATGTGCAGGTGTCGGAGCAGGTCGGAACTCTGACTGAAGCTCTTCCCACATTCCCTACACATGTAGGGCCGTTCCCCAGTGTGGATGTGCTGGTGTCGGGTCAGGTCGGAGCTGTGACTGAAGCTCTTCCCACATTCCAAGCATTTGAAGGGTTTCTCCCTGCTGGGAGGCTGCTCAGGCACCACCAGCTCAGAGCTCCGCCTCAAGCTCCGGCCGCCTTCCCAGCACAGGCTGGCTCTTTCCTCCTCAGAGCACCCTGGGATGGCTTTGGAGCCCCTCCTGCGGGGGGATCTCCGGCCCTTTTCCTCCCCGCTGCCTTCCTGCGCCGGGGAGCCCTTCAAAACGGCCTCTCCCACCAGGGTCTCACGGGGGGATTTGTCCTCCGGGCTCTCCGTCCTCACCTCGGGGCCTGGGGCAGGAAGCAAGAAGGACAGGCAGGGGATTTGCCTCCGGCCCACAGGGAAGGCCAAGGACATCCCCCCAACTCCGGCCCCGGCAGAGGGGTTGTTCTGCAGCCAGGGATCATGCTAGGTCATGCGTGCCTAGATCATACAAGCAGAAATTATGAAACTCTTTTTTAAAACAACTAAGAAAGTTTTCAGACACAACAGACTAAACCATTATAGAGAACAAAACTATAGTTGTGATATAAATACTTAAAGATAGAGTTAAGTTAGTAATAATGTTGTACTGAATTGTAGCAGAAAAATTTTCATTATATTTTGTTTATTGAAGATTGTATGTTAGTTGTAGAATTTGAAATCATTGTAAGTATGTAATTTTGCAAGGGCTAGGGGTGGAAATTGTGGTGGTTTGAAAAAAAATCTTTGCCCCTGGGGCTTGTAATAGTCTGCCCAGGGGTGGTGTTTTTGATACTGGACCAATCAAAAACTTTGTGCGTCCTTGCAGAAATTACCTGCTCACAGAAAGGGAAGAGAAGGGTTAATTTTAACTGCGTAGCTGGAAGGAGAGGCAGCCATGCTTTGAACGGGACTCGTGTGGCGCTGCCGGGGGGCCTTTGCCCTCGGCTCCTGGCCGGGGGGACCAGGAGCAGCACGGCCACTGAGTGGAGCCCCCCTGAAGCCAGTGACCGAGGGGGACCCCGAAAGATCGGGAGGACCCCCTGGGTTGCATTTTCTTCCCCCCCTCGCAGTGGCGGGGGAGGAACGCGGCAGAGGTGCCCGATGGTGCCCGAGGGCTGCAATCGGCGCAGACGCGGCGCTGGAGCGGAGCCAGCGCGAGTCGAGGGGGGGCTGGAGAGGGCCAAGCTGAAGAGCCCTGGCCTTTGGAAAGGCGGCTGCAGCACACAGTCATGAAGTGCCGAGGGGAGTCTCCTCCCATGGGTTTGGGGGAGTCCCTGGGCCCCGCTGTCCTGGCCCAGCCAGGACTGCAGGAGTTAAACTCCCCAGGAGTTCTCCAGCTGACCTCACCACCTTTTCCCACCGTGGAGGGGGAGAAGTGGTGAGAAGCTGGCTGGACCCTGCAGCAACAGCCAAACCAGTGAATCCAAGAACAGAGCAGATGGAGAGAAAGAGAGTCAGTTGGACTCAGTTCTAGGGTAAGAACTTGAACTAAACTAAAAACCTTAGAACTCTTATTCCCTGGGAAGGAGAGGTGGAAATCTCCGAGAACTCATTCCCTGGGGGCCAGAACCTCCAGGGGCCAGAACCTCCACTTAACAAGAGCAGGGGATAAAGACTTTAACTCCTAGTATTTCGTGCTGCAGAAGAAAGAAGAATCCCGGCTGTGACAAATCAAATTTGCTGCCTTAAAAATAAGAGACGTTTACCAGTGCCACAGAAAATTAATTTGGAAGAGCTGTGGCATGAAAGTGCAAGAGGATTTCTTCTCCTTTCCTTCTGGACTCTTTTTTGAAGGAAAGGAGAGACGATCTATGTATATATATTGTTTCACCATAGAAGAGATAGTTAAATTGCTACGTGTACATATATATATGTATATATGTTAATAAAAAACTGTAATATATATTCCTCTCCCCCTATACTAAGTTGTGTGTGTGTCTAAAAAATTCTTCTCTCTCACATTAGAAAAATTTATAGGAAAAGTTCTAAAATTAGCTTTTTGAAATTCCTGTTTTTCAAACCACCACAGGCTGCCAGAGCCAGCACAACACCCGCCCAAAGGGACACTGACTTCCTCCTCACCTGCCTGGGGGGACCAAGGCATCTTCCTCTTCCTCGCAGCCTCCTCCTCCATCCGCCCAAGCTTTGGGAAGGAAAAATCCTGATGGGGGAGAAAACAAGGGCTGAGCGTGTTGGCTTGGGGATTCCTCCTGCCCAAGTCCATCTCTAGAGCTCATTGGGCATCCTGTGACCATAAAAACCTCCAAAACACCAAAATTTAGCACAGAAAAAACCAAACCACCGACATTCAGGCAAAAAACCCCTCAGAAATAGCATGATGAACCCCCTCACAAAATGCAAAAAGTTAAAATTCAGCCAAAAAATATGCCAAAATATGAAGATTCAGTCCAAAAAAAGGTGTTTAATTGGAAAGATGAGGGGAGTGAGGTCACTTCATGAGCACTTGATTGAGTTGCTATATGTTAATCAAAAGCTGTATTAATGTAGTATCACTTAAATCTCTCCAGGGCTGTTCCTCGAGGTTCTCTGGCCCCCTGCCAGTCCAGGGCTGTTTCTCCAAACCACCAAACCACGTGTGCCAAACGCCCTGGTTGGTCAGTGCCGGCTGGGGGAGCGGGCACTCGCTGAGGGGATGAGAAAACTGCACCCGGGGCTGGGCTGAAAGAGGCTTCAGCACCACTTCTGATGGCCCAGGGGCAGCATCTGGCTTCTCCCAGACAGAGAGAGGGCACTTGTTCCTCTGCAGGGAGTCAAGGGCAGGAGGGTGACTCCTGCTGCATGGATGGAGTGGCAGAGGATCCCTTGGGTACCCAGAATGGATCAGCACTCGGGGATACAAACTGCCCTCAGGCTCAGGATGCAGCTGCCAGCACAGATTTCCCTGCAAAGTCTGCAGTGAGTCAAGCTCTGGAGAGGAGATTGTGCCCCATGCATGGGATTGCAGAGGCTCCCTCAGGTCCCCAGAAGGAATCAGCAACCAGGAATAGACACAAAAGCCCACCCTGAAGAGTTCTGGGGGAGTGTCCTGTAGGGAGGGGACAGTGTCACCCCACCAGGGCGGGGCTGGCAAGTGGGAGGCTGCTCCAGGGCTCTGCAAGAGGCCTCGTGCTCTGCTCGGCCCCAGCACTGGCTGGTCCCAACACCCCCGGCTGCCCCCGGCCCTGGGCAGCTCTGCTGCCACAGGCTGTGCCCTCACCGTGGCCCTGCAATGGCCCTGCCTGTCCCTCACCCGGGGCCCTGCCCGTGGCCCTGTCCCTTGGCTCTCTCTCTGCCAGCTCAGTGTGGGGCACACGGGATGGGGGTCCCTCCCAAGCCCCCCGGGCAGCCGGCGTTGGCTGGGGGGATGTGAGGGCTGGGCCTGCTCAGCACAGCCCCGGCCTCGTGCCCAGCGCCTCTTTCCTGACCCACACAAGAGCTTCCCGGCCCCCCCAGGGCTCCCCTGCTGCTGCCTCTGCTCCTGGCCCTGCCTTTGCTGCTCCCTTGGCTGGGGCAGCGGCTGCAGGGGGGGATGGCAGCAGCTTCAGCTCCACGGCACTTCCTGGGGGGAGCTCAGCCCGGGGGGACGGGCAGGGACCTGATGGGGATGGACAGGGGCCCAGCAGGGACAGACAGGGCCTGCAGGGGAAGGCACAGGGACAACCTGGCCCCCCACACTGCCAGGGCTGTCTCTGCTCCTCCTTGCAGGCTCCGTGGCCAGGCACAGTTTGTGTTCCTGGGTGCCCACCATCTCAGCACTTGGAGACGCTCAAATCAGCGCCCGCAGCTCTGCAGCAAAGCCCCAGCTCACCTGGCACACAGGGGATGGACACAGCACCTTCTCGGGGATGGGCACTCACAGCTTCTGTCTCTTCCCCACCACGGGGCTCTCCTTCCTCAGCAGCACCTCTGCCTTGCACTTATTCTCAGCCTCACCTCAGGGACAGCTCTGGGCTCACCTCCGCGCCACTTCTCAGCCTCACCTCAGGGCCTGGGCTCAAGGACAGGAACCTGCAGGGAGGGGACATCAGGTGCAAGCTGAGGGCTGCCTGCTTGCACTGGCCTCTGGGCTTCTTTCTTCTTCTAGAACCATCCCAGAACTCAGCCTGCTTTTCTAACACCACACATTTACAGACTAACCTTGGAGATAGATATGGACAGACATCTCTATCACCCTGGGGATAGAGCCTCAAGCATGTGCTGCCATAGGAATGGAAATCACAGAATCACAGAATCAGCCATGTTGGAAAAGACCTCCGAGATCATCAAGTCCAACCCTTGATCCAACCCCGCCGTGCTTCCCAGACCATGGCACTGAGGCCACATCCACTCTCACCTTCAACACCTCCAGGGACGCTGACTCCACCCCCTCCCTGCCCAGCCCATTCCAAGGCCTGATTACTCTCCCAGCAAAAAATTGCTTCCTAATATCCAACCTAAGCCTCCCCTGGCACAGCTCCAGACCCAGCCCTCTTGTCCTACTGCTGCTTCCTGGCACAACAGCCCCACCCCCACCTGGCTCCAACCTCCTGGCAGGGACTTGCAGACAGTCAGGAGGTCTCCCCTGAGCCTCCTCTTCTCCAGCCTCAACACCCCCAGCTCCCTCAGCCTCTCCTCACACCACTTGGGCTCCACTCCCTTCCCCAGCCTCGCTGCTCTTCTCTGCACCTGCTCCAGCCCCTCCAGGGCCTTCCTCAACTCAGGGGCCCAGAGCTGGACACAGCACTCCAGGGGTGGCCTCACCAGCGCTCACTCCAGCCCAACAAGCACTTCCCTGCTCCTGCTGACACACTCTTCCTCACACAGGACACCAGCCATTGGCCCTCTTGGCCACCTGGCCACACTCCTGAGGGGAGTCTGGGGGGCTTTGAGGTCCAGGAGGGTCCTGGGGGAGCTGGGGAGGGGCTTTGGGGATTGGGGGTACAAACCAAGACAGACCAGTACAAACCAGCACAGACCAGGGCAGACCAGTACCTCCTCACTGCTCCCCAGATCTCTCCTGGAGCTGGGCCACATTGTCCTGGGACACCTGAGCCCCCCCCAGTGCCCCCAGTACAGCCCAGTGCCCCCAGTACAGCCCACTGTGTTCCTGTCCCAGGGTGCTGGGTGATCCCTCTTTGGGGGGGAGTTGGAAGAGATTTGAGGGGGGTACTGGTGGAGATTTGGGGGGATCTGGGGGGGCAGTTGGATGGGGATTTGGGGGGTTTTGAGGGGCTTTGGGTGAATTTGGGGGAGTTAAAATGGTCTTGGGGGCATTGGGGGGTTAAAAGTATCTGGGGGAAGGGGATTAAAGTTAAAAAAGAGGAGTTGGGGGAAATCTGGTGGGGTTAAAGTGGCCTAGAAGGGGGAGAGGAGGGCCTGCACCAAGAGCAGGTGAGTCCTGACACCCACCTCGTGTCCACAAGACCCTTTCGGTGTCCTCAGTTCCCCCCGGGTTTCCCCAGTTCCACTGTCCTCAAACCCCATCCCTGATGTCCCCAACCCTCCATCTCACCCCAGGAGCCCCCCTGGACCCTCTGACCACAAAAACACCCCCCCTATGTTCACAGAAAGGCCAAGGGCATCTGGGGACACGTTGGGGACAGTTGGGGGGCTTTGGGGGGCACTGGGTGATTACTGGGAGATACTGGGAAACACTGGGGGGAACCAGGGGGCACTGGGAGGGACTGGGGAGTTACTGGGGGATTACCAGAACACACGGGGAGACACTGGCAGGTTTCTGGGCCATACTGGGGGTTACTGGGTGCTCACTGCAGGATCACTGGGCCATACTGGGGGGCAGTGGGAGGTCACTGGGACACACTGGATGGTCACTGAGGGGGTTACTGGGCTATATTGAGGGTCACTGGGATATACTGGGGCACTGGGATCCCCTTAGACAGATGTGGTACATCTCCCTCCCTAGATTTTTGGGGGCACCCACAGGATCCCTCTCCTGAGGGCTGGGGGACCCCCTGAGCCCCACTGTTGGGCTTTAGGGGACCCCCGGGCCCCCCTCCCTGTGGGGTCTCTGTGTGCTGAGCTTTGGGGGTCTCTGGGGCTCAGGGGGGGAATTGGGATCCCCTTTCCTTGGGGTCAGTCCACCGACATAGAGACCCTATAAAGTCCCCTCAAAACCCCAGAAATCCCCTCAGAAATCCACCTCTGGACCCTTCCAAACCTCCTCAAGGGCCCCACAAATCCCCTCAGAGACCTAATTCCCCCTACCAAGACCCCCTAAACCCTCTCAGTAACCTGCAAAACCCATCTGGGACCCCCCAGACCCTTTCAGAGACCTCAAAAACCCCCTCAGGGACCCTCAAAACCCTCTGGGACTTCTGAAATCCCCCTAGAAACCTCTAAAACTCCTTCAAAGACACCCCCCCAAGCCCCTCAGGACCTCTCAGTTTCTCTCGGGGACTCTCAAACTCCCTCAGCGATTCCCAAACCCCTTCAGGAACCTTCAACCTCCCCCTAAGTCCCCTCACGACACCAAACCCTCTCACAGACCCCCAAAAACCTCCTCAGCCACCCCTAAAAGCCTCTAAGGGACCACAAAACCACAGAACAGTAAAAGAGCTTTCTGTAAAGGAAGGGAGCAAAGAATCTGAGGAAACCAAGGAAAAACTGAAGCAAACAATAAAATCATCCTGGCCCCTGCAGTTTTTCCTTCACCTTTTTCTCTCTTTTCCTTTTTTTTAGGGTTCTTTTCTTGGTTGGGTGGTTTTGAATGTTTTTTCCGAAGGCCTTTCTCAGGAATCGAATCACCCTTCCGGGTTCTTGGGAGGCCTCCGGGCCCCGCGGCCCCCGAGAGGGTCCTCCGAACCTCCGAACCCCCCGCGCTAAACCCTCCCGAGCCCTCCAGCCTTTCCCCCCACAGCCGCGCTCCCCGCAGCCCCCGAGGGGATCCCCAGACCCCGCTCTCCCGCACCCCCCGCCTGCACTCAGAGCTCACCGACCGACCCGCCGCCATCACCGATTCCCGGCAGCCAACGCGGCAGGGGCGGGGGCGGGGCTGCGGGGGCGTGGCCGCGCGCTGATTGGCTGCGGCGGCGTTCTCGGAACGCGGTGCGCGCGCAGCCGGGAATCGGTGCTGGCGGCGGGGCCTGCGGTTCGCTCTGAGTGCTGTGAGTCCCCCCGGGGGGGATCGGGAGGGTTTAGCGGGGGGGTTCGGGGATTCCCGAGGAGGTTTTGAGGGGTCCCTGAGGGAGTTCGGTGTCCTGAGGGGACTCAGGGGGTGGTTGAAGGTTCCTGAAGGGGTTTGGGGGTCTCTGAGGGGGTTTTGGTTTCTGAGGAGATTTGGGGGGTGCCAGGTGGGCTTTGGGGGTCTCTGAGGAGGTTTGGGGGTCCTGGCGGGACCTTTTAGGCAGTTTTGGGGTCTCTAGGGGGTTTACGGGGTCTTAGACGGTTTTGAGGGTCTCTGAGGGGGTTTGGGGGGTCCCTAAAGGGGACTGGGGGGTCCCAGGTGGGTTTTGCGGGTCACTGAGAGGGTTTAGAGGGTGCTGGGGAGGGATGAGGTCTCTGAGGGCATTTGAGGGGACCTTGAGAAGGTTTTGATGTGTCGAGGGGGGGATTTCAGGAGTTTTGAGGACATTTTGGGGGGGTCTCCTAAAGCCCAGCAGTGGGTCCAGGGGGTCTCCCAGCCCCAAGTGGAGGGGTCCTAGGGGTGGCCCCCAAAATCCGGGGGGGGAAATGTACCACATCCGGGTAAGGGGATCCCTAGACCCCAGTATATCCCAGTGACTTTCCAGTGACCCCTTCAGTGACCAGCCAGTGTGTCCCAGTGACCTCCCACTGCCCCCCAGGATGGCCCAGTGATCCTGCAGTGAGCACCCAGTAACCCCCAGTATGGCCCAGTAACTGCCCAGTGTCTCCCCGTGTGTCCTGGTAATCCCCCAGTAACTCCCCAGTCCCTCCCAGTGCCCCCTGGTTCCCCCCAATGTGTCCCAGTATCCCCCAGTAATCCCCCAGTGCCCCACAAAACCCCCAGTTGTCCCCAACATGTCCCCAGATGCCCTTGGCCTTTCTGTGAGTGTGTGTGGGGGTGTTTTTGTGGTCAGAGGGTCCAGGGGGGCTCCTGGGGTGAGATGGAGGGTTGGGGACATCAGGGATGGGCTTTGGGGACAGTGGGGAGGGGTTTGTGGACAGTGGAATTGGGAGTGTCAAGGGGGGAATTGGGGCCATGGGGAGGTCCTGGGAACACTGGAGACACCAGGGGGGCCTCGGGGTGTCAAGGGAGGAACTGGGGACACCAAGAGGGTCTTGGGGACACCAGGGGGGGTCTCAGGACTCACCTGATCTTGGTGCAGCCCCTCCTCTGCCCGCCCAGGCCTCATTAACCCCTCTCAAATGTCTCCTAACCTCCATTTTCCCTTTAATCCCCCCCCCATAGGTACCTCTGACCCCCCAATGTCCCCAAGACCTCTTTTAACTTCCCTAAAGGCACTCAAAACCCCCAAATCCCCATCCAAACTCCTCAGATCCCCCCAAATCTCCCACAGCCCCCCCTCAAATCCCTTCCAACTCCTCCCAAAGAGGGATCACCCGGCACCCTGGGACAGGAACACAGTGGGCTGTACTGGGGGCACTGGGCTGTACTGGGAGGGCACTGGGGGGGGCTCAGGTGTCCCAGGACAACGTGGCCCAGCTCCAGGAGAGATCTGGGGAGCAGTGAGGAGGTACTGGTCTGTCCTGGTCTGTCCTGGTCTGTCCTGGTTTGTACCCCCAATCCCCAAAGCCCCTCCCCAGCTCCCCCAGGACCCTCCCGCACCCCAAAGCCCCCCAGGCCCCCCCAGGCCCCTGACTTGGTCCTGCTGCCCCTTGAGCATCTGCAGCTGCTGCAGAACCAGGCATTTCTTGGCTCCCCACAGGGTCCTTCCCACACCCAGAATGGAATCTGGAGGCAGCAGGATGTGCACAGGGCTCCCATTTCCTGCAGTGCAAAGGGGCTGCAGGGAATGATTCCCCTGCTCTTGCAAATCTGCCAAAACCTGCAGGGCACAGAAGTGGGAGCTTCAGGAATTTGCTGGCACTGGGAGTAGAGGTCACAGAGTATTGAGAGGAACATATCCCTCAAATACAATCTCTCTGCATACACAATATCTGTCTGGACAGACAGATAAAGCAATAACCAGATATATTCTGTATCATATATATGGCACATATTCTATAGAATCCATCCTTAGGTATTGTATGATGTATCTGTAAGATGTTACAAATAATAAGCAGTAATAGAACAAGTGTCCTCCTTAGGGACACACACTTCAGAAGGGAACTTGCACTTGACCCCCCTCTCTCTTCAGCTTCAAACCACCCGGTGCCACAGAGGGGGACAGAGCTCCTGTGGAACATTCTATTCCACTGACACAGAGCAAGGAATAAACCCAAAGTATTGCCTGGGTTTGTTCCCTGGGGGTCTCTGGAGCAGCAAGCACAGCCCCACACTGACTGCTCTGGGCTCTGCAGGCATTTGTGCTTCTGCCTGTCTCACACACACACAAAACAGTCTGGTTAGTGCTGCCCTCAGGAAACCCCCCCAGCCTTGCTCCAGCTAAAGCCGTGGAATTTGTCTTTGTTTCCCTTGGGTTCAGGGTCAGGCTGTGCCTGTGTCCAGCCCAGAGGCTCAGAAAAGCATTTCTCCTGTCCCACTGCAATCTGCTGCTGCAGACAGGACCCAGGCACTGGTGGCACTGGGAGTGAACAGCAGAGTGTTTCCAGGGGCTCTCTGAAGGAACACGAGTGTCCAAAGAAACCAGCACAAGTGTCCACAGAAGTCCCAGTCCTTCATCTCTGAATGAGCTCGTTCAGCCCAGGAAAAACTGTCTAAGTTTTATTTCCATGGAAGGAGCTTTTTCCCACTTTAACACCAGTTTGGTTCCAAACCAAATTCTTCATTTCCTCCTCCCAGTTTACCTGAAGGACACTGACAGGGACCATGGACACTGACAGGGATCACAGAGCTTGTCCCTTGGCCATACAGCTCCTGTTGTTTGGCAGCACAGGAGAGGTTAATTAGAGCCCAGGCTCCAATCCCAGGGCACCCATTGGATCAGCACTTGGGGATACAAACTGACCTTGGGCTCAGGATGCAGCTGGAAGCAGAGATTTCCCTGCAAAGTCTGCAGTGAGTCAAGCTCTGGAGAGGAGATTGTGCCCCATGGATGGGATTGCAGAGGCTCCCTCAGGTCCCCAGCAGGAATCATCACTCTCTGCAAGTCCCTGCCAGGAGGTTGGAGCCAGGTGGGGGTGGGGCTGTTCTGCCAGGAAGCAGCAGTAGGACAAGAGGGCTGGGTCTTGAGCTGTGCCAGGCGAGGTTTAGGTTGGATATTAGGAAGCAATTTTTTCCCAAGAGAGTAATCAGGCCTTGGAATGGGCTGGGCAGGGAGGGGGTGGAGTCAGCGTCCCTGGAGGTGTTGAAGGTGAGAGTGGATGTGGCCTCAGTGCCATGGTCTGGGAAGCACAGCGGGGTTGGATCCAGGGTTGGACTTGATGATCTCGGAGGTCTTTTCCAACGTGGCTGATTCTGTGATTCTGTGATTGCCATTCCTATGGCAGCACATGCTTGAGGCTCCATCCCCAGGGTGATAGAGATGTCTGTCCATATCTATCTGCAAGGTTAGTCTGTAAATGTGTGGTGTTAGAAAAGCAGGCTGAGTTCTGGGCTGGTTGTAGAAGGAGAAAGAAGCCCAGAGGCCAGTGCAAGCAGGCAGCCCTGAGCTTGCACCTGATGTCCCCTCCCTGCAGGTTCCTGTCCTTGAGCCCAGGCCCTGAGGTGAGGCTGAGAAGTGGCGCGGAGGTGAGCCCAGAGCTGTCCCTGAGGTGAGGCTGAGAATAAGTGCAAGGCAGAGGTGCTGCTGAGGAAGGAGAACCCTGTGGTGGGAAAGACCTGAAGCTGTGAATGCCCATCCCTGAGCAGGTGCTGTGTCCATCCCCTGTGTGCCAGGTGAGCTGGGGCTTTGCTGCAGAGCTGCGGGCGCTGATTTGAGCGTCTCCAAGTGCTGAGATGGTGGGCACCCAGGAACACAAACTGTGCCTGGCCACGGAGCCTGCAAGGAGGAGCAGAGACAGCGGTGTCAGTGTGGGGGGCCAGGTTGTCCCTGTGCCTTCCCCTGCAGGCCCTGTCTGTCCCTGCTGGGCCCCTGTCCATCCCCATCAGGTCCCTGCCCGTCCCCCCGGGCTGAGCTCCCCCCAGGAAGTGCCGTGGAGCTGAAGCTGCTGCCATCCCCCCCTGCAGCCGCTGCCCCAGCCAAGGGAGCAGCAAAGGCAGGGCCAGGAGCAGAGGCAGCAGCAGGGGAGCCCTGGGGGGGCCGGGAAGCTCTTGTGTGGGTCAGGAAAGAGGCGCTGGGCACGAGGCCGGGGCTGTGCTGAGCAGGCCCAGCCCTCACATCCCCCCAGCCAACGCCGGCTGCCCGGGGGGCTTGGGAGGGACCCCCAGCCCGTGTGCCCCACACTGAGCTGGCAGAGAGAGAGCCAAGGGACAGGGCCACGGGCAGGGCCCCGGGTGAGGGACAGGCAGGGCCATTGCAGGGCCACGGTGAGGGCACAGCCTGTGGCAGCAGAGCTGCCCAGGGCCGGGGGCAGCCGGGGGTGTTGGTACCAGCCAGTGCTGGGGCCGAGCAGAGCACGAGGCCTCTTGCAGAGCCCTGGAGCAGCCTCCCACTTGCCAGCCCTGCCCTGGTGGGGTGACACTGTCCCCTCCCTACAGGACACTCCCCCAAAACTCTCTGGGGGAGCCTTTTGTGTCTATTCCTGGTTGCTGATTCCTGCTGGGGACCTGAGGGAGCCTCTGCAATCCCATGCATGGGGCACAATCTCCTCTGCAGAGCTTGACTCACTGCAGACTTTGCAGGGAAATCTGTGCTGGCAGCCCCAGTATGTCACAACCCCCTACACTCCCCCCAGGATATTTGGGACGAGTTCCCCCTTCCCAGGCACCTGCAGGATGAGGGGGGAGGCGCTTGTTTTCCTACTGTT